TTGGGAGCGGCTGCTACAATGCCTCGATTTATGAGCAGAGCCACTGCCTCCGTGCCCCCAAGCAGACAGCTGCCGTGCCAGCACTCTGGGCTAGAGCCTCCACCTCCGAGGTGATGGGTTGTGACGCTGCTTGCCTGAGTGAATGCAAAGAGCATTCTGTCATTTGCACACACACGCAAACACACCCACTCCCAACACAAGGCTCCCAGCAGGAGGATCTCATTTGGACAATGTATGGCCACATCCCCCCCCTCCCCAATCCAGTTACAGCTGCTTACTAGGCAGCAGCATGCCTAATTTAAGGGGGACGATCTGCAGCTGGAAATTTTAATTAACAGTGAAATGAAGTGTGAGTCTAGAGAAAGGAATAGTGGTTTCCACGGGCCTCACCCTGGGATAAACTTGGACGCGTCCAGGGGCAACTCTCAGTTCTGTGGAAGACGTGCTGGCCTGGGACTCTGAGAGACCTCTGGAGCCCAGCCGTGGTGCTGCCAGAGGTTTATTAGCTGTCCTTCCCTCTGGGTTTCAAGGTCCTCACCTCTAAAAGAGGAGAGATCACTGGTGAGGGTCCGGGAGAAATTATAAAGTTCAGACCTGAGGCTGCTTACAAGAAGTGTAATCTTAAGAACACTTTGGCCACCTGATGGAAGAGCCAGCTCATTGGAAGACACACTGATGCTGGGAAAGATTGGGGGCAGGAGGAGAAGGGGACGACAGAGGATGAGATGGTTGCATGGCATTACCGACTCAATGGACATGAGTTTGAGCAAACTCTGAGAGATGGTGAAAGACAGGGAAGCCTGGCATACTGCAGTCCACGGGGTCACAAAGAGTCAGACATGGCTTAGTGACTGAACAGCAACAACAATTTTAAGAAGGTCATGTAACCTCTCTGAACCTTGGTTTCCTCATCTGTGAAACGAAGCCTCGAAGATTAGTTACCTGGCAGAATTGTTTTAGGGCTTCCCTGGTGGGTCAGATGGTAAAGAATCTGCTTGCCAATGCAGGAGACCTGAGTTCAATTCCTGGGTCAAGATTCCCTGGAGAAGGAAATAGCAACCCACTCCAGCATTCTTGCCTGGAGAATTCCATAGACAGAGGAGCCTGGCGGGCTACAGTCCATGTGGTCTCAAAGAGTCAGACACAACTGAGCAAGCAACATACACACAGGGTTGTTGTATTAAATGAGCCAATATTTGTTATGTTCTTGGCACATTGCTGGCCCCAACCGAGTCCCCCAAAAGTGTTTAGTCATATTACCATCACTTTCTGGTTCCAGAATTCCATATTTCATAGAAAAATAAGGTCCGGGTTACAATTTTTTTTTTNTAGAAATGAAAAAGAAGAGTTTTATTTTCTTTTATTTAAAAATTTTTAAATTTATTTTTAATTGGAAGATAATTGCTTTATAATGTTGTGTTGATTTCTGCCTTGCAACAAGACGCATCAGCTATAATTGTGTGTATAGCCTCCCTCCCACCCCCTCATCCCACCCCTCTCTGTCATCACAGAGCCCCAGGCTGGCACCCTGTGCTATATAGCAGTTTCCCACTAGCTATGAACAGTTTTGTTTTGTGAGTGCTTCTTCTGTTCCAGACACTATTCTCATTACTTGACAAACATTGCAGTTTTAGATCTTCCCATTGACCCCAAGAGGGAAGTACTGGTGAGTTTCCTACTCTGCAGACAGGAAATAAGTGGAAGCAGCAGGAAGGGAAGTGACTTCTCTAAGACCCCACAGTCTGTAAGGGATGAACCTGATTTTGGAACCTGTGAAGCTGAGCTCACACTTGTAACCGTCACCTTGTGCTGTCTCTAGATTTTAACTGTATTTCCAGGATTTCGACGCAGTTCTCTGGATGCCTAATCTGATTAGATTACCCCAAACACTGAAGGTGTGAGCAGATATCAGAGAGGAAGAAAACCTTTCTCTGTCCTTCTGGATTCTTCTGCCTGGTCTTAGAATTAAATTGACGTGAGACAGACCAACAGGAGAAAACCTCATTTAATTTTGTATGTACAGGAACCCCCTCCCACCCCCCACTGCCTTACATGAGAGGGTCAGAGACAGAAAGATAAAATCAGGAAGAAGTGCCGTCCCAAGCTAAGTAGAGTAGGAGCCGGCGGCCGCAGAGGGAGATGGGTGAGTCACAGGATGATGAGAAGAGCAGATGTTCAGTAATTAAATGTTTGCCTGTCATAGGTCATAAAATCTTATTTCTGATAATCATTCTTCTTACGGGCAAGGCCCCCCAATTTAAATTCTTTAAGGGAAGGGGGAAACGTTTCTCTTGAGCCCATGGGATCTCGAATGCCTTCAGCTCAAAATAATTCACATGCCAAATTGGTGTATCTGGGGGAGGGATAAATTAGGAGTTTGGGACTAGCAGATACAAACCACTGTATGTAAAATAGATGAACAACAAGTCCTACTGTATAGCACAGGGAGCTATATTCAATATCTTATAGTAAACTGTAATGGAAAAGAATATGAAAAAATATGTATATATAACCAAGTCACTTTGCTGTATACCAGAAACTCACACAATATTTTAAGTCAACTCCACTTCAATAAAAAAAATTTTTTTTAAAGAATGGAAGCATTCAGGACCAGACAGCTTCACTGGTAAATTTTACCAGTTTAAAGAATCAACACCAATCCTTCTCAAACTGTTTAGAAAAATAGAGAGTAAGGGAATACTTCCTAACTTATTCTATGAAGCAAGTATTTTTCCTTGACAGTAAAGTAAACAAAGATATCACAAGGAAAAAAATGATGGGCTGATATTTTTTTTTTAATTGGAGTATAGTTGCTTTGGGTCTTCTCAGGTGGCTCAGTGGTAAAGAGCCTGCCTGCAGGAGGTTAAATGCAGGAGATGCAAGAAGTGGGTTTGATCCCTGGGTTGGGAAGATCCCCTGGAGGAGGAAACGGCACCCCACTCCAGTATTCTTGCCTGGGACATTCCATGGGCAGAGGAGCCTGGCGGGCTGCAGTCCATGGGGTCGCAGAGAGTCAGACAGGACTGAGCGACTGGGCACAAACCCACAGCTGCTTTGCAAGGTCGTGTTAGTTCCTCCCGCACCGCAGAGTGACTCCCCTCCTCGCTGGGTTTCCCTCCCATTTAGGTCCCCACAGGGCATTGAGCAGAGTTCCCAGTGCTCCATAGTAGGTTCTTGATAGTCATCCGTTTCATACATATTGCTATATATTTGTCAATCCCAATCTCCCGATCCATCCCACCCTCCCCATCCTCCCTCGGTGTCCATATGTTTGTTCTCTCCACCTTTTTAAAATATTGATGCAAAAATCCTCACCAAGACACTAGCAAACCAAATCAAGCAGGAGCGTATAAAAGGAATGAGATGTCATGACCAAATGAAATTTATCCAAAGAACGTGTGGATGAGAAAACATGAAAATAAGTTGATGTAATACACAGCATAAATAGAGTGAAAAAAATAACCGCATGATCAAAGTGGGACATCTTGGGGAGGACTGTTCTGAACAGACAATCTCAGCCAATCAGGGCAGACGAGGGGAGCATGGACAGTGAGCCATCACGGAGGCTTAGGAGCCGTACTGGACATGGGAATGCCCGGGAAGCTAATGGTTAGTATGGATTCCAGTTCAAGAAACCTTCACGGAGCCTGCCATTGTGCCTGGGATGGGTTGTTGTTTTAGTTGCTAACTTGTGCCTGACTCTTTTGTGACACCATGGACTGTGGCTTCCAGGATCATCTGTCCATGGGAATTCCCAGGCAAGAATACTGGAGTGGGTTGCCATTTCCTCCCCCAGGGGATTTTTCCCAACCCGGGGATCGAATCTGTGTCTCCGCCATTGATAGGCGGATTCTTTACCACTGAGCCGTCAGAGAAGCCCCTGGGATGTGTTAGGCCCTCCATAAGTACTGCGTGCCTGCATGCATGAATAGATGAATGAATGAATGATGGCTAGAGAAAGAGTAAATGATAACATAGAATCATTGTGAGGGAAGAAAAATGACTGTCCATCTACCCTTCTAGGTTGTTGGTTGAGCCCTCCACCCCCCATAGAAAAATGACAGATTAACAGGAGAAAAACATGTATACCTCCTGTATATATGGGAGATACCCAAGAAAACTGAGTAACTCTCTAAAATAGCCCAAACCACCAGCTTAAATTCTATCTTCAGCTGAAGATATAAGAAAGATGTAGGGCGGTGAGGGTTGGGGACATGTGGCAGGGGGGAAGGAAGGTCAGGAAAAGCAGGAAAAGCACAGTCAGTAAGCAAGGGTATGGTCATGATGCAGATTTAAGTCACTGCCTTCTCCACTGATAAGAGTTTTAGTGATTTAGTCATCTTCCTCTTCCAGGTTACAGAGAGGAAGACTCCCTTAAAATGTAAGATTTTTGCTTCTTCCAAAAAGGTTAACTGGGACTCAGTTTTCAGTTTCTCCTGTGTCTGTTATATCTTAAAAAGAAGATAGCCAGCCCCCCAAAAATCCATATGCCAGAGAGGCATATTTGGGGATGGCAAATTCTGCTCCCCTTCATCATCTTCTGATGGGATGTATTGGAAGGAATTGTAAATAGAGTCCAGAAACGAGAGTGATTGGTGAGGATCTCAGAAAATGTCACTGCAGAACTGATGAATGAACTAGAGTCATGCATTAACTCCAGCTCAACTAGCATTTCCCAGGTTCTTTCTGTGTCCCTACCACTAGGCCAGTCTCTGTAATGGGACCTAAAAATGCCATCCCAACAAGTTTCTATTGCACACCCCACCAGGCCCTGTGCTGGGCTCTGGGGAACAGTAAGGAATGAGACAGACTCTGTTTCTGACTTCCTGGAGCTCCCAGACAACTGGAAGGTGTGATTAAGCAGAAAGGAAGCCCAAAACTGAACGGGTTTCTTCTGTCCTGTGCTAACGCATGCCGATGTTTGATGCCTGACCCAAGGCAGAAGGATGGCTGACTCTTCTTTCTCCTCCTGTTCTCTTTCTCTCTCTGTCTCTCTGCAGTTTCAGAGACCTCACGACTATTCCCCACCCTTTCGATTTGGCACGGTGCCCAACGGCAGTACAGAGCGAAACATCCGGAACAACTACCCCTACATGCACCAGTACATGACCAAATTTAATCAGAAGGGAGTCGAGGACGCCTTGGTCAGCTTGAAAACAGGGTAAGGATGGGGTTTTTCTTTTGCTCTGCCCATCCATGTGCCTTACAGACAGTGACTGCACGCCTAGGTGCTTGCCTGCTTCTGTGTTGTACTTTCTCAAGAGCTGGAGGTCAAGGAGGCCCCCCGCTGAGGGCTGCTTTTTTTTTTGTTAATCTGATGAGAATCCAAGCCTTCCTTCTGAGTTGTGTTAAGCAAAAAGCAAATCCAGGACACTTTGAAATGCAGAGAACCAGTGGGATGTCTTAAACTGATAAAAAAGTTGGCCCAACTCAATGGGATTATTTTAGCCATAGGAAGATCTAAGGAGATGGAGTTTATATAAAGTGGGGAAAACACACTGCTATCGATTTTTATCTGATTTTGGGCAGGAGTTTATGAGGTGTAGCCTTCTGTAGAAACTACAGAGTGTCACAATGAGGGAGGAGAAAGGAAATATGGAGAGAAAAGCAGTGAGAAGTCAGCCTCTCTAGAGGTACAGTGAACATGCTTGTCTACCTGTTGGCATTGTGGGAGATAGCAGATGCAAAATAACTGAGGCTGTAAACAGAAGACCTGTTTTATGCCCTCGGACAGTTAATCAATCACCCTCGGTCTCATACGTGAAGTGGGAATAATGATAAGACCTCATTCGTAGGGGTTTTATGAGGATTAAGAGCAAATATACTGTAAAGCATTTCAGAGAGTGCCTGGCACTGAAATGGGACCTAATTGCTAGTGTTATTTGGTGTAAAGGTTAAATTCTATTCCGTGGACTCTTCAACTTTTTGAAAAGTCAGGGATGTGTGAAATGTGTTTTTGAAAGGTTCCATTAAAAATAATTCTGTTTCAAATGATGGGATTGTTTAAAGAGGAAATTTTTGCTTATCCAGAAAATTAACTTCCGTGGACCATCCCAGCTGTCAGGAATTCTGAAGTAAAATGGACTGCAGTGTACTCTTCTTGCAGATTAACACATAGGCTCTTTCCCTTGGCTGTTCTGCCAGGCATTGAGAAGGTCTTGCTGCTGCTTTTTTCCTGGTGGGGCAGAGGGACCCCTCTAGACCATCAAGCCCATGTCTCTGCATCGTTTCCAGGAGCTGTGGCCAATGGCATTTTGTCTTTCAGTCTCCTTAGGATCTCTTGGTATCTCAGCAGGGGCTGGGAGAGCATTTATTTAGCAGTCGAGCCTATTACTTATGCAAAACTCATTCACACCCTGCTCATGACTTTTTAAAAACTTACTGAGAGGCATAACAAAAATTCAGAAAATGTGCAAGTATTAAATATGCAGCTCGATGACTTTGTCCAGGTGACCTAACCACCCAGATCCTTCGGCTTTCCCGTCTCCCACGTCTTCTCCCTCCTCTGGTCAGTACCTTTTCTTGCCTGTTCCCTCGATGCCAGCCTCTGTGTGACAGCTGTTGTCCCGACTACAGTACTTTTCAAGGTACTGTCCTGTAAGATTGGAAATGTTTTCTTTGTTTTTTTGTGCTTGTTTGTTTTTTTTATGCATTATTTGTGTGAAACGTATCATAAACCTATTACAGTACAGTACTATATAGCCAGTTGAGTTATATGGGGACCTAAGCTAACTTTGTTGGACTTACAAACAAATTGGACTTAATGAACTCGCTTTCAGAATGGAACTTGTTCGTATGTAGAGAACTTACTCTACTGTCTTCCATCTACCATCCTCACTTCTAAAACCGTAGATTCTTTTGTCTTGTTATTCTAACATATAATGAAATCACACCATGTGTTTTCTTTGTGGATTGCCCTTTTTCTGGCTCACCATTCTGTTAGTGGGATCACTGCATGTCTTTCTGGTTCTTTCGTTCTCACTGCTATGCAGAATTTTTGGTGTGGGGACATAGCACAATGCACACGTCTCTTCTAACCGTGATGGACGTTAGGGTAGTATTCCACGTGGGGCTATTATGAGCAAAGCTCCTTAGGGCTTTTTCATACATGTCTTTTGTTGCGCCAGTGGATAACATTTTCCTTGTTATACACCTAACATTGGAATTGCCAAACTATAGGATATGGGATATAGTATATAGGATATAGGATATGGGATGTTCACTTTTGGTAGATATCAGAAAAGACAGATTTTTTTATAACTTTCCAGCTTAGCCATAGGCATGAGTTTTTATTTGTTTGTCTCCACTGTGGTATTTTCATCAATATATACTGTTATTCTGAATAGACCATGAGGATAAATGCAAGGACACTAGTTAGAAACAATGGTTGAAGGCTGACTGGTCTTCTCTTCATCTGTCTGTCACCCAGAGGACAAAATAGGGTTTTTTTTTTTTTTCAATTTTTAAAAATAATGCAAACAAAAAAGAGTAGAGATATACAAACCATCCCTGGCCATAAATTGTACGAATTGTTCTCGGGAAGCCATAAAATGATTATAACATCCATCTTAGCAAACTTGGGCAGATGGTGAGTTTACTCTATGTTCAGTCTCCAGAGGGGGGAATACGTGGCATTGTTACTTTAAATTCAGAAACTGGAGCTAAAGGGGTGTGTCTTTTTTTTAAAGAAATAACTACACATACTGTTACAGGTGAGGGCACTCCTGCTTATAGCTGGAGATTCTGTCTCAGTGGAGTTAATATTAGGGGAAATCACTTATATGTTTAACAGGCTTCTCAGATAATTATTTAATTCAAATTTTGAATAGATACTTCATTTACACAATTCAAAAATAAAAAATTAAACAATGGAGAGCCTCCCTTCCACACTGTGCCTTGTCTGCCTAGTACCCTCCGTGTGTGCGTGCTAAGTTGCTTCTGCCATGTGACTCTTTGCAGCTACATGGAATGTAGCCCACCAGGCTCCTCTGTCCATGGGATTGGCCAGGCAAGAATACTGGAGTGGGTTACGATTTCCTCCTCCAAGGGATCTTCCTGACCCATGGATCAAACCCACATCTCTTGTGTCTCCTGTATTGGCAGGCATGTTCTTTACCACTATACTGTCACCTGGGAAGCCCCACTACCCTACATAGTAGTCACCTTTACTGCTTTTCCTGTGTATCCTTCCAGAGCTTTCCCTATCAAAGCATAAACAGCTGCAGAGATTTTTTTTTACAGGTTTATAGTTTTTTTCATTGTGTGAGTGTACCATATGGTATTTCATCAGTCCCCTACTGATGGATATTTAGGATATCATTTTTTTGTTGTTGCAAGCAATACTGCAGTGAATATCCATGGGCGTCACATCCAGTGTAGGAGAAATTTCTCAGATTGCTGGGCCAAAGACTACACACATAGCTGTGATTTTGACAAACATTGACAAATTTCCCTCCCAAGGAAATTCACCTTAACCCCTTGCTGTATAAGCATACCTGTCTCCCCAAAGTCTTTGCCAACACAATGTGTCATCAATCATTGAAAATTTTGCAAAGATAATAGGTAAAACATGTGCCAACGTTTAAATTTGCACCATTTTTATTATCTGTAATTTTTTTTTTTTTACCAAATGTAACTAAAAGCCTTCTGCAATTACTTTTTTGAAAACATTCATTATTTTTTTCTCTTGTTTTGATGATATTTTCTTATTAATTTATTAGAGAAATGAGCCCTTTATTTGTGGTGTGATTACAAATGTTTGTCCCAGTTTTCTTTTGTTGTTACTTTATCTCTTGAGCTTGCAGATAATTTTTTTTCCTGTGGAGATTTATATTTTGTATAGTCACACTCATCAATCTTTTTTTTTCCATCACTGATTTTGAGTTGTAATTCAAAACTCCTTTTTACTCAGATAAAAAATAGTTTTATCCCCTTTTATTTTGGTTGCATCTTTAATATTTGGAATTTTTCTTGGTCTAAAGTATGAGAGGACCTTCCCTGGTAGCTCAGATGGTAAACAGACTACCTGCAGTGCAGGAGACCTGGGTTCAATCCCTGGGTCAGGAAGATCCCCTGGAGAAGGGAGGTGGGTATCCACTCTAGTATTCTTTCCTGGAGAATTCCATGGGTAGAGGAGCCTGGCAGGCTGCAGTCCATGGGGTCGCAAAGATGACTCCAACTCCTTAGATGATTATGAGAACTAAATTTGAGAACTGCCGTCACCAAACTGCACCAAGGTCTGACAAACTCTCTGTGTTGATCGTATCTGATCATCATCCCATTATGAGACTTCTGTCTTTCAGAGGTCTACATCACCACACTGAGTTGCCTTTTCCCTTTCCCATCTCATTTTCTTTTAAAATTTTTCATTTTGAAATATATTACTTTAAAAAAGGAAGCATATTATGAAATTATTTTACAAGAGTAAATATCATGAGGATATACAGTTTAAGGAATAATAAACTCCTCATGTAATAATAATAATAAAATAAACCCCAGCTTTAAAAAATAATAGACGTTCCCTTCCTTCACTGTGTATAGCATCTCTAGAAGTTTCTCTTCTCAAAAGGTACAAGGAGGTGCCCTATATGCTTCTAGATTGTTGGATTTCAGGATATTCCCTTTATGCTACCCCCAATATGCTAAAATCCAGCGGGGCTTGGCTTAAAAAACCCAGAGCAAGTAGCTCAGCTGCTGGGTCCCGCCTGTCCACGTGCAAGTCTCAATGACATCTGTGGTTAGTGATTATGTGTATCTATACAGCAGGGTCAATGGAACAGGGAGGCTCCTTTATGAATTGTAACTTACTAGAAGAGTCTGGAACACAAAAGGGACTTTGAACTATGGTTCAGCAAGAGTCCCAGTTCAGTCTGAGTCTGGGCTCTATCGTTAGCTAGCTATGACCTTGGACAAGTCATGTCACCTCTCTGAGCCTCAATTTCCCCCATCTGAAGAGTAAAAGGGCTGGATTCTTCAGTCTCTGAAATAATTCTGAGATTCTTTTACTTGTGTCAGCACTTGAATCCTTCTTTAGAACTTTCCAAAATTCAAAATCCAGACAAACCACAATTAGAAACAGTTGTCAGTTTTGCAGAAAGGATTTAGAATAACTCTCCACAGCTAGGTGTCTCCAACCCTGGCCAGGGAACCAACTCTACCTGA